TGGGAATAACAGGAGTTCAAGATGGCTTCCATATGGTGGTTGGCCTCCAAGAGGTAAGAACAAAGGTTTTGAATCCTTGTAAGGTTTGGAATTGGATAGCATAACATCCCCAAACTTTATTAGACATACTGTCCCAGGCTAAATAAACCCCAAGCTGAAGGAAAACAGACTCTACTTCTCAGTAGTGGAGTACAAAGAAATGTCTTACTATGTTACACTTGCCACAAGGCTTTGAAGACCCATATTCAGAGCTATTTAAAGGGCAGTTATGAACCCTACCCTTAATCTCCTGAAAGAAATTAAAAGGATAAATGTGAATGAAAACACTTTCTAAGGGAAATTAGCAGTCAGAACCACAGGATAAGGTCAAAAAGTTATGAATGATAAAAGGATAGCTTATAGAAGGAACTGATGCCAAGGAGAAAATAAAGCAGAGAGGCTAAGTACAGGGAACCAACCTTTGCATACAAGAGAGGTCAGAATGTCAGAAATGGGCACTAAGGAAACAGTGCTGCCTAGATGATGGAGAGAATAAGTTATAAGAGAATGTCAAGTAGATATCAGTGACTTTATAGAACATGCCAGCATTAGCATTAACAAGCTAACAATACTCTGTGGACTGAGGTTGAAGAAGCTGGATAGACCATAACACTGCCTTTCTGGCAGGAACTGGCTTCAGCTGTGCAAACCCTCACAGAGATCTGGCTTTGCCCAGTGAGAGCAGAGAGGCAAGGCATGGCTTCTTTTGGGTTTCATCTGTCTGTTTGTCATCTGTCTGTTTTGGAATGATAAGTGGAACAGAAGGAAACAAAAGCAGGCAAGCAGACTTGCTCACTGTAGGAATTTAGTCTCTGAAGGATTGTTAATGAGGAATGAAGGAGACAGGAAGCTAAAACATGGGAAGGTTAGTTTGATTGTTCAGGGATATGATAGAGTTAAGAAGGAGCTGGAAAGTAAGCTAAGCCATTCCATGTTGTCCAGGGTCCTGGATATCCCATCTTGGTCTCCTCACTCTGCTCTGACAGAAATATTTCTTCACTATCTCTGCTGAAAAGATATAAAAGCCAGCCCCATTATTGAGCCTGTTCTTCTGTGGAGCCTTTATTGATTCAGACAGGTAGAAACAGAGTTCTTCATCCTCAGAACATCACTGAACATTTCAGCATCTACTTCCATGCCCTGATTATATCATGCATTATATTTGATGACCTTTTCCCTCCAATCTTTGTGTACTATAAAAATAAAACATGAGAGAATGAAAATACAATGGGAAACTCAGGTTTGATAAAAACAAATTCTGTCATAGGTACATAGAAATGGAGAGAGCTTTAAAAAACTTAAGATTTAAGAGAATTGTAAGAAAGTTTTGTTTATCTGCAGTATATTTTTATTATTATTTCAGTTCTAGTTTGGGTTATAAAATGAAAGTAAAATTTAAATGATTTTTAAATCTAGGAATTTATAATTATTTGTCATTTGCAAAATAATTTATAAAGAGAAAGAAAAATGGTTACAAGAAAGAAAGTATGGCATATTGTCACTTGCTTTGAGGAAACTGTTGAGAAAAAAACAGAACTAGTCACATTATTATCAAATATGCATCTGGTTGTGTTTGGCAGGTCACAGGTTATCATTTCCCTCTTCCTTTTCATGATTAATTTTTAAGACAATTTGAAGATTATTTATTTATTTATTCACTTTGTATCCCTGCTGTAGCCCCCTCCCTCGTCTCTTCTCAGTTCCAACCTCCCTCCCTCTTCTATGTCCTTTCCACTTATAGGGGAGGTCCTCCTCCCCTTCTATCTGACCCTAGCCTATCAGGTCTCATCAAGGCTCACTGCATCATCTTCCTCTGTGGCCTGGCAAGGCTGCACTCTTCAGGGAGAGGTGATCAAAGAGCCAGCCCTTGAGTTCATGTCAGAGACAGGCCCTGATCCCCGTACTAGAGAACCCACTTGGAAACTAAGCAGCATATGAATGAACTACATCTGAGCAGGAGTTCTAGGTTATCTCCATGCAAGGTCCTTGGTTGGAGTAGTAGATTCTGCAGGACCCCTTGGGAGATTTTATGTACTTATTTTCAGCTAATGTTTCCTTCATAAACACATAGAAATTATTTGATGGGAAAAATTTATGAACTTAGAGTTGAGCATGTGAATCTAAATGATCAATTGAGCCAAAGAGTGTAATAAAAATAAAGGGCCGAATAGGCAAGTTTATTGTGGCCCAGGTTACTATAACGGTGTCATTGATGCTATAGAAAAGTTTTTCTCAGATGAAGGAGGACCTCCTCTATCAGTGGACTTGGAAGGGGGCAGAGAGGAGATGAGTGAGGGAGGGTGGGATTGGGAGGCAAAGAGGGAGGGGGCTATGGCTGGGATACAAGTGAATGACCTGTGATTAAAATAAAAAAAGGAAATAACACTGTTCAAAGTACATAAAATATATGTATTTTGCCCACAGTGTCATGATTTGAGAGGATAATAAATGTCAAAATTATCAAAAAAAAAAAAAAAAAAAAAAAAGGAAAAGAAAATGGTTCTCAACCTATTGGAATTTATGAATATCCAGTCTTTTTTTTTTTTTTTTTTAATGGGAAACTAAAAAAATCCTGTAGAGGGAGGAACTTGCTTTTCATGTATGTGTTCCTGTGTTTGAGAGATACTGAAATGAGTTTTACTTGAGTCTAATGTGAAATTCGGACAGCAAAATTATCAGCGGGGACAGGAGTGTCATGTGTACAAAGTAATGTATGTAATATGTAAATATCCATCCTAATGACTGTATTAAATGAAATGATCTTACAAGCATGAAATGTAGACAGCGTGCTAGAGTGGCTGGAGAGCCTGGACTTCTGAAAGAGATTGTAGAGAATGTTGATAAAAGTTCATGAAAGATTTTCCAATATTCACTGGAAGAAAAAGGAATATTGAATGTTTTGAGATATTTTAGGTTCATCTTTGCTACAATCAGGAAAGGAGTGGTCCACAATGTTTTCACTGTATGGAGATTTCCAGGAGACAACATCCTCTCCTTTAACATTTAGGAAAAACAATTTTGTGCTTGAGAAAAAACCTGATGGGAGTATGTGAAACAAGCAGTAAATTTACTTGAAAATTGTTTGAAGGTATTCAGTTCATAACTTAGTTCCCATCACAGCTCTAAGAGATTGAGAGCAAAATAAAACAGTTATTTTAGAGTATATTATTTTATATCATAAAGTGAATAAGATATTTTAGAAACAGAACACGTCATTCTCTTTAGTCGTTCATATGGACTAATTCCTCCATTTGACTGTATCACACAGATGAATTTATGGTGTCTAGCTTGAAATATTCTATGTATGCTAATAACGTCTCACTAATTATGTTGTAAATTGACTACAGAGGACATGCTGTAACTCTACAGGTAGTGTTTACCCTGTTGGGTTATAAGGTAAAAGTAAAGGAGGATAAAGAGGTCACAATTTCATCATTGTACAATAGTACTTAGAAAACTATAATTGAGATGTAGGCATTTGTGTACTCTCACATAGAGTAAAAACCGTCATTAGCTGTAGTGGCTTTGTTCTTGAATTTGGGAAACAAAAAAGATCACAAGGAAAATGAGACAAAGCCAGAAAATCAGGACTTCAGAAAGGCTCAAGCATCATTCAGCAGACTGCTATGTTACAGGAATAAAACATAACAGAGGAGTCTCACCACCATTTAAAGTCATGGGAATGCACAGAACCCCATATATGAGCACTCTACTGGATCTACATAATGTCGATGCAAACAAAAAGCATAAGGAGGAAATGCAGGTTGGCATGCATTATTTCATTAGTTTTTCTTGATTGATTAATTTTTTTCTATGGTGTTGGAGACTGAATTCAGGGCTTTATACAAAACGATGAAGTGCTATACCACTGGAATATACTGCAGAACTGGAACATACATTTCTTAAACATATTGCTAACAAGCAGGGGTGTAGGAGTGTGCATTGTCTATTGCTAATGACTTCCAGGTAGGCCTGGGCCTGTGGTGCGGAAGCTCCCTACAGTCTGCACCAGCCACACTGCTCTCCTCTACGGCCTTGTCTTATAAACCCCGCCTTGGATATCTGAAGCTCTTGGTGAATATTACTATCTTGGAATTCACTTGCTGAAAAATTGTAGGTGAAAAAAATTCACCACAACTGATTTCATGTATAGCAGATACGTGCTTGAGCAGAACACTCCTCTTATCCTACATTAGGCAACACATTTGAGAAAATACGACAGCCAGAGGTCTTGTACCAGACTGCTCAATCAAGGCAGCCTTTATCCGACATCAAGGTTAGAAGTTCAGTGAGTTTCCACTGGTGGAACGATTGCATAAGTTCATGCCATTCAGAATTACTTTAACTTGCACAGCTGAGAGATGTGTGACTAAGCTTCCAAATTGGCATCCAAGGCGCATTTGCAGGAGCAGCCTTATCTCTGCACCACTTCCTTCACCCCCCTCCTCACTTCCTGCCATTATCACCATCAATTTCATCACAGGCAGCTGAAGTTTCTCCTTCAAAATCAAAAGCCCTTGGAGAATAGCTCTGCTTAAAGCCACAGGTCACTAAATATATGGACGATTATGGAGAGTCTTTTTCGTTTCCATTTTGATTAAGTGAAAGGCTCTTAATTTGGGTCATTATTGATACATAAATCTGTAGAGAAAATGAACATGCATTTATAATGTAACCAACATTACATGATTTATTGTTCTTATAATGTGTAAATACAGAAAGAATGGAGAGAATAAAAGAGTCCAGCTCTCAGATCCCTGGATATGAAACAGTGCCAGGGACTAATGGAACAAACTCATCCTGAATGTTCAGCCTCCTGCTCTCAATGGCTCCTCATTTCAATCGAACTCAGCCTTCATTTGAAAAGCCGTCTAATATTAATCTGTCTATCCTATTCAACTGACCTTTCGGTGGAGGGTTTGTGAGTGATAAAATGAAAGGCTCAAAATGGGTTTCCATACCTGATTGTGGACTTTGCTTGGGGATTTTGGCTACCGCTTGAGGGCTGGAGGTGGAGTGCATTCGTTGGTTGGCAGAGCTGTGGATGCTGCTGGGAATCACTGAAGATGCATTCTTTCGAGGCTTCATGTCTTGTAGCCACATAGGGGAGGCTTCAAAGGCTTGCATCCTCCGAGCATGGCTGTTGGCATTGACTTTCAGGTAGGCCTGGGCCTTGTGTTCCTGTAGCTCCCCGTAGTTGGCATCAGTCACCCTGCACTCATATAAACCTTCATCCTTTTTCCTCACTTTGGAAATCTGAAGCTTGTGGGAGATATCATTGCCTTGGACTTTCACTGTCTGAAAAATTACAAGTGAAAAACAAAGTTTCACATAAAAGGGTTTTATTCCCTGTCTTTTACGTTTGCTAACTTGGGAAATTAAAGGGTCTTACTGACTTCATTGCACAAATCTAAAAGTCATATACCTCCTGTTCTATGACCAATCCCATTCACAGACTCAAGAATAAGCAGTGGCACGGTGGCCCTACTGTCCCACATTTCCTAAGCTATCAAAACAGCCCTGTCATTTTTCCAACATGGGATTGGTCTCCCCTGGTTGGCTCTGCTGAGGAAACATTGCCTAAGGAGTGCATCTCTCATAGATTTTTCTTCTGTGTCTGCAAGACAACTCCTTCAAACATGGGGTTAGATGGGAGAGGGTTAGTCATAACAGTTTTAAAGAGGGTGAACCTTACGAAATACATGGATATTAGACTTAATTTGTAATATTTTTCCTTCCAATTTCCTATTAACATAAGGGAACAGAGCTCAGGCTACAGGGTAGTAGAATGTGAAGTCAAGGCTCAGTCATAGGCTCATGTCATTATACAAACTTGGGATACTATTAATTGAACATTGGTTTGATTTTCAAAACTGAAGTCAACCCCATTTCCTCTAACAGTTTTATCCTAGATTAGTAGTATCAAATGTCTAATATAATATTTATAATATATACATCTATATAATATAATGTGACATACATGTATATACATATATACCATCAGAGCAGTTAGATTTGGTACATATCATATGTTAACCCATGATTGACAGATTGAAAGATTACATAAATCTGTCAGGTTTAAGGATTTGATTGACTTTATAACACAAAAATGAAGGATGATAAAGAAGGATATTCTAACTATGGCCATTTTAATTATTTCAAATTACACTCATCTTCATATTGTTAGTAGGTCAGTATGGTCTAACATCAAGTGTACATTTACACTTGCTTTGGTTTTGTATTTTTGTTATTCATTTGAATACTAGAATTATAAACACTTTGCATGAAATATGACTGATATCCAAACTGAGTCACACTGTTTCTTTATATTTCAAAATCCTGGTGGATAGCTTCATTTTTGTTTTCTTGGTATTTTATTTTATATTAAGAGCAAGTACTCTCATTACTTTGAATTATTTCAAAGTAATTTAAATAATTACTCTTAATTATAATTAAACATTACCTCTTCAAGCTCAATGAATTATAGGTTTTAAATCTTAAATCTGTTTTCTACTAACGTTCATCTTGGGCCTGCTTGGCCTTTTACTGAAACATGCGCCCCCTATCTCTTGTCCCGGTGACACTCACACTAATCTTGGTCCCGTCGTTGTCCGGGTCTCTGTCAGGTAATAGCTCCACCTGTAGGACAAGGGTGCAAATGCTTAACCTCGCCGGAGTACTTCAGTAATATGCGCCACTACATTGCAATGCCTCAACAGCTAGGAGAGATCCCTGTCTTCTGGTCTTAAAATGCTTCCGACAACGCAATTTAAGAGGCAGAACCACAGAGGTCCCAACCGCACTGAGTCCTGAGGCCGGGCTAGTGGCTGGACTGCTTCCCTCGCCCCTCCCTGGAGCATCGCTGAATTCCCACCTCCCCCACCGCCACCCCAGTCCCGGTCCCCGAGCCAGATCTCAAGCATTCCCCGGAACTGCACGTCTTCCCTGAGCATTGCTGCGACCTCAGCTCTTCCCAAGAATCCGTAAGGTCCCTCTTGTACTCTCTGTTCTAGTGACTCCCCGGAGAATGAATGCCTGTCTTCCCTAAGCCTTCCCGTGGTCTCCGTGGTCCACGTGGTCTCCAGGCGCCCCTGAGGTCCCCGCAGTCTCCTCTCTCCCAGCGACACCCTGGAGAGTCCCTGTGGTCCCCACAGCCCCGCAGGCCGTGCTCCCCTTGGAGTCCCAGTGCTGCTAGGTCTTCTCTCTGGCAGTTCAGTCTGCGGTCCGGGAAGCTTAGGGACAGGCGCGAAACCATGCGAGGACAGGAGCGGAGGTGGAAATTTTTCTGGCCGAATTTCTATGTGCATGCCCTCGCTGCTGACCAGCCCCCAGGCTCTCTTTTGCAGACTTTCTCGGTCCTCTCGGTCTCACGTCCGAGTCCTCTTTATATTCGTGGGGCTCTCCTTTCCAGCTCTTACCACTACTCTTCTGCTCTCTTTATGGTTTTCCTTCTCTTCTTCCTTTCTCCCTCATCATGCTCTACTCTCTAGGCCTCTCCTTGCTTTTCTGATGCCTGCCCCCATCTCTCCCTCCCCTCATCTTTCTCTCCTTCTTTCTCCTTCCCAGCTCCCACCCACCCACCTCTCCTGCTCCTCCTCTGCCTCAGAGGGGAATGGGGAAGGAGAAAGGAAGGGAGGGAGAGATGGGGAAAGAAGGCAGATATTGGGAAAACAGAACACTGGTGGAGGGTTTCCCGGGCTGTACCAGAGACAAATTGCCAATTTGTGCAGCTCCATAACACCGGTTACTAAGAGCTGGTTAATTCCAGCCTTAATCGGGAAAATCCCAGCTCCTGTGACTTCCTAGCTGCTTTTATCTTACTGTCACCAGGACAAATTGAGCCTTGATCACTCTCATGGAGCAAGGGAGGTTCCCTGGATGCATGGGCAGCACTCTAGGTCCTGCCCGCTGGTTAGACATGCACAGAACTAAGAAAGTGAGGACGTGCAGGGGCTCTAGGGCTTTGACCCCTGGCTACCTGCGCGCCTGCAGCCTCAGTCCCTTGCTCCAGGTCCTCTGGCCCCCGAAGGAACCACCACTGGATCTCCAGGTACACTGAAGCGGAGCCGCTTTGGAAAGCACAGGACATTTCCACATTTTGCCCTTCGGTCGCAGTCACGTTCCGCGGAAACTCGGTAAATTTTGCTGCAAGACAGAAACGCATCGTTTTGGTGGATCTGCACCAGCTTTGCCAAGGTCTCATTGCTGGAGAACTCGACACAAGTTTTTGTTTGGCCTCTCTTTTTCGTGGGGCTTGAAAGAAGAAAACAAAAACAGCAATAATAACCCCTTGTGACATCTCTGCAGGGATCCTCATCCCCATTTCTTTGCCTCTGCATGTCTTGTTCTTGGTATCATGCCTAAATCACTTTGTTGTTGATCGAGTCCAGACAATGGAAAGGTTAATGAGCTTGCCAATAGCTCTCTCTGCTAGCCAAGCTGCCCGGAGTTAGATCCAAACATCTTTTGTCAGATTGCAGCATTCCCTAAAACTTACTGAGAGCTCCAGGGAGGTACAGTTTGAACCATCTGTCAAGTTGATATATGAGGAAGCCTCTGTATTCTTAAGTTTCTAAAGAATCTATGACTAACTGGATTGTTTCCTGTTAGAAGTGTGTCTTAAGCACATATCAAAATGCACATCCTTAATCTATCAAAATAGTGGTTAGCATTTTTGATCTGGAGCACACAGTAGTGAAACAAGTTGCACACTACCTAAGAGGCATATGTTTTGTCTCTGCAAGTTAACCTTCAGGTTTTTTTTCTCTTCAAGCCATTATAAACTGCGATATGTCAAGGGATATAAAAATCATACATCCGTGTTTAGTTCAGATCAAAGATTATTTAAAAGACACCACGGAGACTCTGTCTAGCCCCTTTGCTACTAACCTTGACACTACCAGCTTGTACGATTAATAGATCCATGTGAAAGTCATAACAATAAAATGTCCCTTCCTCCCTAGAGGCCTTCCTCGAACATGGGATGACGCTTTTTTTTTTTTTTTTTCTTTGTTAACAAGATGCTTGTTCTTAGCCCATCTAAGGGGCACTCCGCGAAGAACTGAGGGTTCTCTGGAAGGAGCCTTGTATTTGTGGCTGACAGAGGGCAAGACCACAAGGCACACATCTGAAAGGAGGGTCCCGGAGAGGATGGCAGGAATGGTTACAGCCATCCTCTCCTCTTCTCTTAAAGATAGTGACTCTGGGTGTCTCTTTTCACTATTTCATGAAATCCCAAATTGAGCACTAATTGATTAAAGGGAGCTGTTTGTGTCTCAAGGAAGTAGACCCTATTCAGAAGGCAGACTGTCGGGATTGGGCATTTCTGCTTGCAGAAGTGATGCAGTCTTCTAGAGGAGGCAGAAAACTGGGATCTGCTCAGGGCGCTCAGGCACCCACCGCAGCCTGCAAAGTCCTGAACAACAGCCCAGCAGGCTGCTGCTGCTTATGATGCAATTTGGACCTCCTTGTGGGTTCCCTGGTAAACACACATGGGCGAGAAGTCACAGGGACCAGAGAAGGGGACTAAAGCTTTCTGCCTCCAGGGAGTACTGGCAGTGAGAAGCCCCTTCCAACCACCAGCTCTGTATTCTTAATGACGGTGTATTCTTGAGTGGTTACCCTGCTCATGCACACAGAAAACACACACACACACACACACACACACACACACACACACACACACACAC